AAAAAAAAAAAAAAGAATCCACTAATACAGCATCCTTGTGAGAAGGCCAGTGTTTAAACACTTTCAGTAAAGAAGAGTCCACCGCTTCTATTCTGTTTCTGACATTTTTCAAAGGAACTTTTACAAGTTTCTAACTGAAATCTACTTCCTGGTAATTTAAACCCATTGTTTCCTGTCTTGTCTTTTAGAGTAACTCTGAACAAGTTACAGCAGACCCTTCTGGAAGGCGGCTACTATGTCACCCAAAAGTCTTCTCTTCTCCAACCCATACCCAGTGGCTCCAATCACCCCTAATAATTTTTCCTTCCAGACCTCTTATCTTCTTAGTTGCTCTCCTCTGGACATGATCATTTGCCAATGTCCTTCCTAAAATGCAATACCCACAAATCAGCACAATTTTCTAGATACAGTCTGACCAACACAGTATAGAAACAATGATTTTCCTTGAATTTGACACTTGGCTTCCCATTCTTTATCAATTTAAAAACATCAGTTGCGAGTTTTGCAGCAGATTTCTCTTTCCTTTTGGCACCATTTTATAGAATAACAAAATTCAGTACTGAATTATAGACAACTGGAGTCAAACTTCATTTTAATTTCTTTAAGTTCACCCTTCACACATCTAAGTAAGGAGGACTAACCCTGAAGCATCTTTCAAATCTTTGCCTTGCATAAAGCAATATTCGCATTGAAATCCAAAGCCTCTATCCTTGATAAATTTGATAAAGCATGGGTCCCAATAAATCAGTACTTGTTATGAATACAAGTTTTTACCCTAGTAAGTATTTGCTATGATGTAAGAAGTCCCTGCCCCTTAGAAACCAATGTTGATATGAAATTTCTGCCCTTGATAACTCTTTTTAAGCCTCTCTGTTATCAGAAATTAGGGTTCCTTAAGAAATTTGAGACTGACACACCCCGCCAATTTCTCTCCAAAGCATTGAACAAACGGCGCCAGAAATCACCGAAACACCGCGTGCACCATAACAGCGGATATCGTACGCTATCTCTGGCCCCGCCCCCTCCCCTTCGTTCACCAATCACGAGAGAGCAAAGGAGCGAGGCATCCTTCTAGGGGACGTCGTCTGGGAGCACCGCCCCTGTTCTTCCTGACTTGCGCGCGCTTTAAGGTGACGTCTCGCTGCTGCTTTTGCGAGCGTAGTTTTTGTTTTCTAGCGGCTCGGAGCGTGAAAACGGTGAAAGGCGGACAAGTCCGGGAAAATCCGAGCGGAGAGTAACCTAAGAATTTTGTAGGTTGGAGCAGGGTAGGTTGAGCCTCTAAAAATTGGCTCGCTTGGTTATTGTCGATTGAATTAGATCTTGCTTTGATTCCAAGGAGTCGTAAAATGTTCATCCCGTTCCTTTCTTTAGTAGGAGGCTCCTGAAAAAGGATCCGGTCATATTTCTGTAGAATTAAAAGAATAGCATTGTAGTTTTGCTTTCCATTCTGACAGCAGAGTTTGTTGCAATGAGAGGCATTGTGCAGAGCAAATGTCTTTTCTGTTGTGCTCCAAGCCACCAGAACATATCTGTCTGGTGTAGGACTTTCCTTTTAGATTTCAGAACAGAAAGAGCCACCAGACTCCTTAGTTGAGACTGCACAAGTTTCCTCACACGGTTAATTTGGTACTGAAATATAAACAGCCATGTTTCTTCTGTGCACTCTTGGCTATCTGCACTGTAGTGGCTTTTTGAAGGCTGTTTCTAAAGCCTCTTAGCTTTGCTGTACTTTCTGAAGTGGACCAGCCCATTGAAATGTGCTTATTGCTCCTTCCACTGAGTTTGAAAGCTACCTATATACTAGGGAAAAGTGCTTGTGACATACAGAAGAAAAAGTGAAATATTCTGTGACAGCAGTCTGTGGAGTAGTTGGATCAAAGGCAGATGGGTTGAAGTTCTGCCTCCATCTGGAAATAGCAACCCCAGTCAAAAAAATAACTTGCTCACTCCCCCCACCCCATCCTTTGGTAGAGAATATTTCTGTAATTTACAGAAAGTACATACTGCAATAATTTTGCATGTTTTGATTCTAAACAACTGTCATAAGAAAGCACCTGATGGTGTTCTAGTACTCCTGGAATTGGGAATTAACAGTGATATTCTCTTGGGTGTGTGTATGTGTAATGCTGTGATGTATAATTGAGAATAATAAGTTTTCCTAAATAAAACCTTTTATTTTTTCATTTTCTTTCTTTTGCTATTTGCATTAGATAAGCCATAGATTCTTTTTTAAACAGCAGTAGGCACAAAGAAGTAGGATGTTTTCGAGGCCTAAGCCTGGAGAGTCAGAGGCAGATCTACTGAGGTTCCAGAATCAGTTCCTGGAGACTAAAGCATCCCCAGCAGTTAAATTAGTAAAGAAAGCAGATAAAAGAAGAGGAAATGTGGAGAGAGGCATTGATGGCAGACTCCCATTGCAGCTCAGCAAGGATGTGGTGACCTTGGATGGTAAATTCCTTTCAAATTATTTTATGCTGATAATTGACAATTAAAAAAAAAAGATATCGCCAAAAATGTATCACCTTGTTTGTTAGAGGTGTTATATTTTCATGGCATTCTGATGTAGCCCTATCTTCATTTGATATGATAACATACTATAAGTGGTTTAGTCTAAACTAACCTTCCCTAATCTAGAATTGTCCAACTCTAGTATACTACAGCATCTGACTTTTTTCTTGCTCTTTTTCTTCTTCGTCCTCACATTTGTCTTGCTTGATGAAGAGTCTGCTTGGTTCAGCTGTGCTTGCTATTTCATCCTGTCTGCAGCATTTCTACAGTTGAGCTTCACAAGGTGCACATAATCTTTTAGTTGGTTGAGCCATAGCATTTTCAGTCATTCCTTTGGCTGGTGACCTTCTGCATGTAATTCTAGAGCTATTCTTGCAATGGAGTTGTTGCTGCTATGTACTGCATGGCCATGACCGCTGCAGGTGTGATTCTTGCATTTTCTCAATGAGAAATACATCTTAATTTGTCACTTGGTCTAGTCTTGCTATGCCAAGTGACCACCGTAGCATTCTTATCTGAACAGTGTAGAGAGCCTACTTACAGTGGGGCAAAAAAGTATTTAGTCAGCCACCAATTGTGCAAGTTCTCCCAC